TTTTACCTTGACCTGCTGACATATCAAGCACTTAGACACAAAGTCAGCTATGTCCTTTTTCATCCCATTCCACCAAAATAGGGGTCGCATGCTTTGGTACATTTTGGTGCTTCCGGGATGCATGGAAAACTTTGAGCTATGGGCCTCAGTCATAATGTCTCTCTTTAACTCACTGTCATTCGGAACGCACACCCTGTCCTGAAATCGGAGTAACCCATCGGTAGAGATTCGAAATTCTGAACTAACTCCCTGTTCTGCATTGTTCTTGAGGGCTACTAGGGTGGGATCAGCTGACTGAGTTTCCCTTATTCTCTGGATCAGCTCAAGCTGGACGGTCAAATGGCTCAAACATGTGGCTCTCCTCAAGTCCTGAAGTCGAACATATTGTGTAGCCCCAATTGGCCTGCATTCTGATACCATCAAATAGGCTAAGATACCTAAACTTTTCCTGCTGAGTGCATCGGTTACCACGTTGCCTATACCCGGGTGGTACAAGATATCACAATCATAGTCTTTAAGAAGTTTTATGCACCTTCTCTGATGCATGTCGAGATCCTTCTGAGTAAATATATGTTTCAAACTCTTGTAATCGGTATAGATCTGAAAGGTCTCTCCGTATAAATAATGGCGTCAAGTCTTCAAGGCATGAATGATTGCGGCAAGCTCTAAGTAATGGGTGGGATAATTTTTTTAATGGCTCTTTAACTGTCTGGACCCATAAGCTATGACCTTCCCATGCTGCACTAAGACACAACCCAGGCCTAGATAGGAGGCATAACTATAAACCGTATATTCCCCAAATCCACTCGGTAAGGCCAGCACAGGTGTAGTAGTCAGCCGCTTCTTTAGTTCTGAAAAACTTCTTTCACAATCCTCATTCCACTCAAACTTGGCATTCTTCTTTGTGAGTTGGGCTAGGGGAGCTGCTAGACTAGAAAATCCTTCAACAAACCTGCGGTAATAGCCCGCTATTCCCAGAAAGTTACGGATTTCTTTAACTGATGTTAATTTCTCCTAGCCGAGCACCGCTTCAACCTTTTCACGATTCACTGATACTCCATCCTTTGATATGATGTGCCCCAAGAAGGCGGTCTGCTTAAGCCAAAATCCATACTTACTCAACTTTACATACAGCTTCTTTCTTCTGAGAACCTGCAAAACCTAAGCTAGATGGTGAGCATGTTCCTCTATGCTTTTTGAGTAGACCAGGATGTCATTGATGAACATGATAACAAATTGATCTAAGAATTATCTAAAGACCCTGTTCATCATATCCATGAAGATGGCTGGGGCATTAGTTAGCCCAAATGGCATGACTATGAACTCATAGTGTCCGTACCTGGTTCGAAAAGTTGTCTTGGAGATGACTTTTGTCTTTATTTTCACCTGATGGTAACCTCATCGCAGGTCTATTTTGGAGAAGACCTACGCACCCTGCAACTGATCGAAGAGATCATCAATCCTGGTAAGGGGATACTTGTTCTTGATTGTGACCCTGTTCAATCATCTGTAATCAATAAATAGTCTCAATGTTCCATCTCCCTTCCTAGCAAAAGTGACTCCGGCACCCCAAGGGGACACACTATGTCTGATAAAATTGTTGTCTTGCAATTCAGTGATCTGTTTCCTCAGCTCATCCATCTCAACACGGCTCATGCAGTAAGGAGCAACCAAAATAGGTTGGGTGCCTGGTTGTAGATCTATGGTGAACTCGACTTCCCTGTCCACTAACAGTTCAGGTAATTCATCCAGAAATACATCTGAAAAGTCTCGGACTACCAGAGTCTCTTGAATACAATTTTCTTTCTTGGGTTTACATAGTTAGAGAAAATAGCAAGGTTAAGGTACTCGACAAATAAAAAAACTTACCATCAAGGAATAAATACTAAATGATTTTATTAATTTGTAAATAACTCCTCATTATGAGGACTAAATACAACATTCTTGCTAAAACAATCTACGGTGGCGTGATACGCCACTAGCCAATTCATTCCTAAAATTACGTCAAAATCTTCTGTGTCTAATTCTATTAGGTTTACACTCAGTTTCTTATTTGCTATCTCTACGGCACAAGCCTTGTAAACAACTTCTCCGAATAGTGTTACACTCCCAGCAGTAGACACAAATAACATTGAATCGAGTTTATCAGGTAATACATTAAATTTGGATGCAAAAATAGGTGAAACAAATGAATGCGATGCACCAGTGTCAAATAAAACATTAACAAGATGGTTACAGATGGTGTACATACCCTGTACCACGTCCAGGTCAGCTTCGGCATCCTGTTGGGTGAGGTTGTAAGCCCTGCTCTGGATAGGAGGTCTCCCTGATTCTGGTTACTTGGGCACTCTTTCGCATAGTGTTGGGCACTACCACATATGCGACAAGTGTTGTTGAGGCGGTAGTATGGTCGGTCCCTGTGATCCTTGCCGCAATACTGACAGATCTTACCACGTCCTGGCACTAGAGCCTGAGGGGGAGCCTGGATCACCAGTCTGGGCCTCTTGTTATGTTGGACAGGCACAGTAGGTGCTGGTCTGCGGGGTGGAGCTAAGGGTCTGTGGTTCCCTGCTGACTGAGGGAGGGTGTGGAGGCTCCTCTCCACTAACTGTGCCTTGGCCAGAACGACCGAGTAAGTCCTGAGCTCCAGTACAAATAAATGCTGCTTGATCTCTGGGCGGAGGCCCCACTGGAATCTCCTAGCCTTCCTGCCCTCATCCATCAAAGTCTCAGGGGAGTATCGGCCCAACTCCAGGAA